AAAATGGGGGGGGGGGGGGGTCATGTGAAGAGCTTAAAAAAAAACAACAGTTCACAAAATCATACCCTTTCTTGATGATCCATCTACATAATACAACTTAACTTTTGCAGGGTAGGGGCAGCTGTTAAATACCTGGCACAGGTGGAATTAAGATTCTTTGGTCACTGAATGGATAAAGGGGAGGAGGCTGGAGGCCAAATGAACCAAACAATATTGAAAAGTAATTAAGCAGCCGTTTCTGGGTAGACTATTAAAATTGTTATTTTAACACATTGCGGACAGGTCACGAGAATTCTCCGCTTTTCATTGTCGTTTAAAGGAGAAACAGTGTAATGGAAAATGCATTTGCTCAAGTTAAAAATTAAAAATGGAATTAAAAGTGATTAGTCTCGCCGAAACCGGTTTGGCTCAGTGGTAGAGCATCGGTCTGCGGACTGAAAGGTCCCAGGTTCAATTCCGGTCAGGGGCATGTACATAGATCGTGGGCACATCCCCGGTAGGGGGTGTGCAAGAGGCAGTTGGTCGGTGTTTCTCTCTCGACGTTTCTAACTCCCTCTCCCTCTTCCTTCCTCTCTGTAAAAAAGTCAATAAAATATATTTTTTAAAGTGATTAGTCTGTTAGTAATAACATCAATTGATATTTTTATAAAATTCTGGATATTTTTGCTGACAATTTATCAGATATTCCAAGTGAATGTGATAAAAGCTTTTACAGTGATATAGTTATTCCTTCAAAAAGGCGAAAAATAGTAATTTCAACTGATTCTGAACCTAAAAATATGAACAATTCCACACAATTTTGAGTAGTTTGCATCTTGGTTGCTGAGATAATGACTGGTCAAAAGAGAACTTTCAACCTAATTTGGAAAAATCGAACATATAACCAAAATTAGGGAAAGCACAAAATTTCAAAAGCAATAAGTAAAGTGGTCTCCTGTTACTCCAATAGATATGAAGAAAAAAAAATTACGGCTTATAATGCTAATGGGGCATAATCAAAAGGATATTTGGGAAGAATATTGTTCTACAAATCCAGTTCTAGCTGTTCCAATGTTTCCTCAGAAGTCAAAATCGTTTTTGAATAAATCTGGACTTGCTGACATTTCAATGACAATGAATCTTCATCCAAGCTATCTAAAATTCAATCTGTACTCGGACCACTATATTAGTAAATTTTAAACAATATAAAAACCCATGCAAGAATTATTAGATGAAGGCATGATTCCCTGGAAGGGACGTCTTCTATTTCGAACTTACAACCCAGCTAAAATTAAGTATGATTTACTTATAAGAATGGTATGAGAGCAAGATGGTATATTTACAATATGAAAATTTACACAGGTGGGAGGAAAAAAATGGAATGACTCTGTCACTACTTGGGCCATATATGGAATTGGGGCATCACATAGATCAAGATAACTATTACAATAGCATTTCAATTGCAGAAACTTTATTACAATAAAATGAGTTTGTGGGACAATTCGACTAGAGGCTTGCCTAAATGTTTGCAAGATGAAGCGTATACACTTAAAAGAGGTGAAATAGACTTCTGAAGGTGGTGTTTTTATCACTGATTTGGAAGGATAAAAGAAGTTCGAATTATTTCAACTACCCATTATGCTTCCTCTTGTCCAGTATGACAAATTGGCGTACTGGGGAGGAAATAAAGAAGCCAGTTTCCATTGTGCAATATAATAACTATATTGCATGGTGTTGATCTTACCAACCAGTATCTTTCAACATGTAATATCCTTAGAAGAAAACAATAAAATGGACAAAGAAAGTAGTGTTTTACCTAACTGTGGACTATCCAATTCTTTCAGGATTTATCAAGTGCTCAATCCAGAAAGCCAAGTAAGATACCAAGATTTTGTGATAACTTCAAAATGCAATGAGTATTTAATTTTAAAGCATGCCTTTAACATTAATGTAAAATACTTCTTGTACTTGTTCAATAGAAACTTATCTGGCTACTGGGTAAAGCTAGCAATAAAACTGGTCCGCAATGTGTTAATATATAAATTACAAAATATTGATTGAAAGAATTGTGAAGAAGTAGGTGGGTAAGGTGCTGCCTAGACTTGGTGTCAGTACTGTAGCTGTGGATCATTTTAGTAAGGTTTTGTGTTTTGTAATCTTTATTGTTGAAAGTATTACAGATGTGTCATTTCTCCACTCTGTCCCACCCCCACCCCCTTTTTTAATTTATCCATTTTAGGGGTGAGAAACATCGATTTATTGTTCCACTTCCTTATGCTTTCATTGGTGGTTTCTCATTATGTGCCCCAACCAGGAATCAAAACCACAACCCTGGTGCCTTGGGACCATGCTCTGACCAACTGAGCAACCCAGCCAGGGCTTCATGAGGTTATGACCATCAGGTGAAAGTTTAGGGACCAACTGGACTACCTCTGTCAGCTTGTGTTCCTCCAAGAACAATGTGTAACAATTCCTAAACAGTTTGGAAACTAAAACACCTGTATTCTGACACTCTTCTGTATCCCTCTGGTAGGGAAGTAAACACACAGACTACAAGAGCGATGATTTTCGCCGACACCGGTTTGGCTCAGTGGATAGAGTGTCGGCCTGCGGACTGAAAGGTCCCAGGTTCAATTCCGGTCAAGGGCATGTACTGTGGTTGCGGGCACATCCCCAGTGGGGAGTGTGCAAGAGGCAGTTGGTCGATGATTCTCTCTCATCAATGTTTCTAACTCTCTATCCCTCTCTCTTTCTCTCTGTGAAAAATCAATAAAATCAATAAAATATATATTTTTTTAAAAAACGATTTTTAATTGGTGTGCCACAGGGGCACTAACCTCTTTTCCTTTTAGATCAGTGGTCAGCAAACTGCGGCTCTCGAGCCACGTGTGGCTCTTTAGCTCCTTGAGTATGGCTCTTCCACAAAGTACCACGTGCAGGTGCGCATGATTGACACTTTGTGGCCCATGCACAAAAGAAATTTCAATTGTCGTACTGTTGATATTTGGCTCTGTTGACTAATAAGTTTGCTGACCACTGCCTTAGATTGTCAGAATGACAACTGCCAATACAATAGCTGTCAGGTATGAATCAAAATTATAACATTTTGTCAGATCAACAAAATATATTTTTGTGTGCGCGCGCCACAGAATTTTAGCAATTCGTTTATGTGCCATAGTGTTTCCCAAAGTGTGGTACGCGTACGCCCAGGGGTTCGGGAAGTTTGGTGGGGGTACGCATTGCACCGGAGTTTGGTGGGGATATGCACTGCACCGTGCTTAGCTGCGCCTAATTCTACGTTCTCAGGAGTACGAAGGGTATTCAGCGTTACGAAAATTATAGAAGGGGTACACATATGTCAAAAGTTTGGGAAACACTGGTTACAGTAATGGAGCATACTGTTATTTATCACTGTGCCCCCCTACCGTGCCCCTCACCTCCCTCCCCCCCAAAAAAAACCCTGTATAAAGGAAGTCTGAAGCTGATCAACTCTGCTGTAGACGCCCATTATTACCACATGGGCTATAGTGAACAGGTGAGAACTCAGTCCTCTTGAAGGTTCCAAAAGCTTGCTGTGTATGGAGAATTACTGCTGCTTTATCTTTGTGCTGCATTTGGGTCTGTGGTGTATTCAGAGCAGAACCTCCAAGTTGTTTGCACCTGGGGATGGGTTGGGAGGTATGAACAATGGGAAAGTGATGACTAGAATGAGACCCCTATTGGTAGACACCACTGGGGTGAGCAATCTCAGGGTGTCCTGAGCAGGCAGGCTCACGTGTGCTAGTGCACAAATGGGCTGCACTCATGCTGAGTGCCCAGGTTGGAGCATGGGCACCCAGGGCAAGCCTGAGGGTTTTCCTAAGTGACTCCATCAGCAACAGCCAACTAAGCACGTGGCACTGGGAATAGTTAAGCATGGCAGAGCAGACCTAAGGGTGTAACCCATAGGAGAAGAGCATGTAAAGCCAATCTTTTCACTGCCAAAGCTAAGTGGCAAATTAACTTTATTTTAGGACTCTTGTTGCTATACCTTGTGTTCTGATGTAGTAGAAACCAGTCTTATCAGTGTTTGCATAATTAAGTTTTAAATTAGATAAAATTAGATTTATAATGTGAAACTAACTCTATAAAGGACCAACTACACAGACTGACTGCAGCGTTTTTAGTTACCCACAGATTGGTCAGTGTATCTTGGGAAGGTGCTAGAATGTTATCACTGTGCCCTCAAGGTTTCCTTGAGAACTACGTTGATTACAGCCTCCTCTTGCACGGGTAGGTAAGGAATCTTGTTCACACTGCTGCATTTCTGAAGGACTGTCTAAGACCTTGGAGCAAAACAGGTTCTTGGAACTCACCTAAGCCAACACTGTCATTTTATATGCAGAGAACGAGGCTTAGAGATAGCTCTCCAGACCACCCGGCTGACTGGGATATGCACCCCTTCCCCCATCTCAGGATGCAAGTAGTGTTAATTCATTTAGGTATTAATAGGCAAAGTATACACAATATTGTATGTATATAAAAGTCATGTTTCTATTACATTTATATTGGGGTGGGGCAAAGGTAGGTTCATACAGTTTAATACAAATAAACCGTTTAATACAAATAATACAAAAATAAACTTTTCTGTACTCACAACTATAAACCTACTTTTGTCCACCCCTGTATTTACTGTTATAACTAAGCAAATTAATGCTACTAGACAAAACCAAAGGTGTTAAATGTGAGAGTTTGCTTTCCCTTGGATGCAGTCTTTTTCTAAAATCTGAAGCTCCCTGATAGATGCCAACAGTGGGGAGTTGTTCAAGTATTATTTATTCAAAGTTGAAAAATGTACCATACTGCATTATTGCAAAAACTTACTGGTACAAAACACTTTGCAGCTGGTGAGAAGGCATAAAAAGTTGATGTCTAAACTCATTACTATAAATTATTCTTACAGTACATTGCAAATTCAGAATTTCAAAATGCATTTTTTTCTAAATTGCCCACAGTACTCGAGGTTCCTGAAGCTAAGGCAGCTGTTTTGGAGGAGGCGGGGAGGAGGTAGCAGACGTCAAGGGATCTCCATCTCACGCTCGATGCCCACGTACTTCAGGGCGTCAGCCTGGCTGTATCTGAAACGGCAGGAGACAGGCGTGACCCCGGCCCACCGAGGTGAGAATGAACACAACCACCCACTTACTTCAGTGGGTGCAGAGAAAGGCACACACATCCAGTGACACCCAGCTGCACACCTCATTCACCGCGTCCTCCCACTCCAGCACAGTGTGTCCTCGGGCGCTGTCCCACCTGCTTTGGGTCGTACCTTCAAAGTGACAACACACGGGCCCTAGTTTATGACAACTCAGGACTCAAAGACGGAACTTCCATTCAGCCTCAGGATTGCACTAGACAATCACCTGACTACATTCAGGAAAGTTTTAATAGCTTTATCAATTTATCCCACAGAGCCAACAGTGTAAACGGCCAACCTGATGCCAGACCTGTGAACACCATCTGAGGGTGAGCAGGTAGGTTATTGGCCAACAGTCCTCCAGCACTGAACGATTTAAGACAGCCCGAGCATATCCTCAAGGACAGCAAGGTGGGGCTAAATTCTTTTCACTCTATCTTTAAAATAACCAGTGCTTATATAATGGAAGCTCCATCCTAACTTCCCCCCAACACCCAAGGCAAAGAATAGCCTAAGATTAGACGCTGCAACAACATAAGACCCAGCAAGAGCAGAGAGTCAGCCTCTGTCCCCAGTTCAGAGTCCAGGAGAAAGCCCTCAGGACACACCAGAATTGCACTGTTACTTACCTGTAATCAAAAAACAGCTCTTCACCAGTCTGGATGGCTCTCTTCGCAAAGATCCCTATCCTGTGATCACCATTCACCATCATAACTAGAAAGAGACACGCTGGTGTCAGCGAAGGAAGGGACAGTCACACAGAAAATCTGTCTAGGCCGTGCATCACTATCACTGGGGGTCCTGGCATCAGAACAGGAATTCTGACTCCAGAAACACCTACCTTTTGCATAGCAGTTTGGATTGACTGAATGATTTGCAAAACGAATTTTGTTACCCTTACGGGTTGCATCCACCACAAAATCTAAAGAAAAAATAAGCACAATGCAATGAATAATTCTAGTTTTAGATAAATAAACACAAAGTCCCTATGATTCTGGAAATACAACTGGTTACGGTTCTTCGGGGTTTGCCTTCAAAAGCAAGTAAATCATTCAGCCAACTTTGTCCAAATGACATTTGCAAGAAAATGCTGTTCTAGGTAAAATGGATAATTCAGAAGAGTTGTTACCTAACTGTAAATATGTATTACTGAGCAAAATACTGCCCAAAAAAGGAATTTAAATTCTTCTCAACTTCAAGGATAAGCATTTTTGTATTTAAAAAAAATTTTTCATTCTGTTTGGGAAACCTGTTCATAGCAAAACCTCTATGTTTCAACCAAGGGTTATCAGAATGTCCTCACCTCCCAAGAAAGCAGCACCGTTAGCTGTTCAGTCCCTTGAGAGAAATCAGGAAGTGTTGAAGAGGCTTTGAAATTCAGTACCCTCCTCCCCCCAAGGTCAGAGGCACTAACTGGAGGAAGTGTGCCCAGCTGACTCAAAACCCTGGGATGTTCCACAGCCAATGTCTTGTATAGCTCAGAGTTCCCGAGACACTGCCTTTGAACATGACCCACTCCTCCCCACAAGTGATGGCAACAACCCATTTTTAAGTTTCTGCCAGAGCATGAGAAACACCAGCTCAAGATATGAATGATGGGACTCCCAAGTGCCACCCAGAAACTGAGTATTCTGACTCCTAAACATACCGTTATTCAAGTTGAAGAGAAAGCTGCACATGTATTTATCATACACTTTGCCTCTTCTGTCGGCTTCATCTTGAGAAATTATCTTAAGAAGAAGGACAGTGTTAGATTAGGGACCAAACCACACTACACAAGTTCACCAAGAGAATTGGAGCCCTGGCTGTTTTGGATCAGCGGTTAGAGCATTGGACTGAAGGGTTGCGGGTTCAATTCCTGGTCAAGGGCATGTACCTCAGTTGTAAATTTCCCAGCCCTGGTAGGAGCGAGTGCAGAAGGCAACAAATGTGTCTGTCTCCCTCCCACTCTCTAAAAATTGATATTCTCTAAAGAATATCCTTGGGTGAGGGTTAAGAAAGAGAGAACCGGACCTTCCTGAGAAAATTCAATAAAGGGTCAGTAGAGCCAGTTTCTTCAGATTGCAGGCTAGTGTGGCAAAGAAAAATGGACTTGAAGGACTTCAACTCAAATGTTTCTATAATTACTCTTGTTCTACAAAAGTCTTTGTACTGAACGAAAAACTCAAGGTGGGCTGATTTCAAACTCAAGCTAGCATTATGGCTTTTCCCTAACCCTATAAAAAGGTACAAGATTAATTACATTCATTTCTAAGTCCTTAATAAGGAGGCTGTGGATTATGTAGGAGAGACTCATCACAAACCTCGTGTACTTCCCCCCCTTGTCATCAGATAAAGGCTAAATGTGACTAGGATTGAAACAGCCCAGTTGCCAAAAAAGGCATTTTGTGTTAATTCATTTTTTATTTTATTTTTTTTAATTTCCAAAACAAAGTTGCTACATAACAAGCCCAGAGCTTACCTCTCCACAGTATTCCGAGATGAATTCATTTTTCTGTACAGGATCTTTGATGAAAATCCCCCAGCCGGCCACATCAGATGGTGCCAGCAATAAATGCTAAAGAACAAAGCAACAGTCGTTTGATCAGGAGAGCAAAGTGGACTGTTGACAAGATCCCAGGGTGAATCCCTATAAATCCTCTGGCTTCTTGTAGCCACCAAGTAACCTGAATTAGGAGCCTGTGATGAGAGGTAAACTTCCCCATTTTTGCCAAATGGGCTGACAAGATGTAATGCTTTCGGTTATTTGTAAATAAAGTACAGAATGTAAGATCTACCTCTAGATCAACTAACCATCCTTCAACAAGGGCAGCTGCCCTTGCACATTCTGTCATTTTGGCAGCACTTAATGATTCACTTCAACGTGCATTTCATACAAGGACATCAAATCCCCTCTCCCCACAGTGACCTTCCCCCCGCCCCCCTTTTTATTCCTACCAAAACCAAAAAGCTCAGCTGTTCCTCTCACAACGGCATGGAGAAATGACAGGAGGTAGTGTCACTATCTCATCAGCCCAGCATTCTGTTCTTAGCAGATGCCAAATGACGAGCAGGGCCAATTCTAGAGTATGTCTGGGAACAAATCTCTCACTTTCCACCGTGGTTCATTGTTTCCATCCAAATTTCCTTTAAAAAGACCCCTACCTAATCATGCAAGCTATTCCTATTCTAATCCAGCCTAGATTCCCAAAACTTCCCAGATCAGAAACTAAATTAGCTAAATAAATGAAACCCAGTTGGGAAAGTAACTACAGTTTTCTGCTTTCAAAGTTAAACCTAAATAATTAAACTTTTACAGTTAGGGGCAGGAAATGTAATTTTTTTTTAGGGTCTGCCATGGGAAACAGTAGAGAATCATTGCGACAGAATGACCTCAATGGATAGGAACTACCCAGAGAAAAGCCATCTAAACACTTGGAAACAAGAGCCAAAAAATAAGGCACTGTCAGAACAGGGACTCCTGGTAGAAGGGGGCGAGGCTATCAGTAGTGCAGTAGGGTGATCTAATTCATCTGACCCAATGTGGAGGTCAACAGTGGGGCTTGGTATTCTGCTCCTTTCAAGTCCTCAAACTCAGGGATTCCCAATCTATTGTAGAAATCAGTTCATTAAGGTACTCCCTCATGGAGTTATGAGGACTAATGAATAATGCACAGGGCATTTAGTCAAGTGCCTACTATATCTTAAATAATAAATGCCAGCTATTATAATAAAAATGTTAAATGTACCACCTACTCAAAAAAAAAAAAAAAAGGGCCGGGTCCGGTTTGGCTCAATGGATAGAGCGTCGGCTTGGGGACTGAAAGGTCCTGGGTTCGATTCTGGTCAAGGGCATGTACCTTGGTTGCGGGCACATCCCCAGTAGGGGGTGTGCAAGAGGCAGCTGATTGATGACTCTCTCATCGATGTTTCTAACTCTCTCTCTCCCTTCCTCTCTGCACAAAATCAATAAAATATATTAAAAAAAAAAAAAAAAAAAAAAAAAAAAGGCCGTGACCTTCCCCAGCATACATTGTCAGTTTCCTTTGCTTGGTACTGAAGGTCATGGTTGCTACAATTAAACATTACCTGCATGCACTTCCCAGTTATGTAATTCCTGCTGGTGATGTTTTCAAGGTTATTAAAAGAACACTGTCTGAAAAAACTACTGTGAGAAATTTTATCTCTTGTTCTGCACAAAAGGAAAATTGGCTACTATTTAAAAGAATGGGTCTCTATATTCTGATAGGAATGCCATTTATTTGCAGTAAGGAGAAGAGATAAATGACTAATTCTATTTGCTAAACTTTAAAAAAATTCAGACCTACTAAAAAACTAGAAAAACTTATTATTCCAAACCTGAAACCATTCACAGCTGGTTCCTCCTATGCTACTCAAGAAGCCCAGGGTCTCCCTTTCAGGGGCATCATTCATTCAGAGATCACTTTTTGGCCCGGCTAATTGCCCTGCCATGTTCCTCATCCCTTGACGCACCTTCTTAGAGCCCCGCTGGATGCTGCAGTTCTTGCAGGACACGTTCTTGCTGTCCCAGTGGTCAGCAGCTCCACACGTCAGACACAGGTCGGGGTCGCACTCCCGGACGGCCAGGTAGCAGGGGCACTGCTTGGTGTTGCACTGTGCTTTGCAGCGGCAACCAGGAAATCGGTTCTGACCTGCAGAGACAGTCACCGTCGTGGACTCATGGAACCCTCACAGCAGCCTCCCTATCCTGCTGCACAGATGAGGAGAAACTTCCTGTGTATTCGAGCTTCGTGTGCCGCTTCTGTCACCACCCTTATGACAAGTTTGTTTATTCTGAAAACTGAACCACCCCAACTCTGACAATTTCTGGTTCCCAGAAAGTATTTGGGCAGCTATTTCTATTCCCCTTACATTCTGTGCCAAGATCACTATGATTAAATTTAGAGATCAACAGCTCCTTTCATCCCATTAGCCTGAACACTGGCTGGACACTGGCTCTGCAAGAGCTGCCATGTTGTGTCAACTTCAGTTACTATTTTTTTTGCAGGTTGTGGGCTGCACATAGCTGACCAAAGGCCCACTTAATTCTCATGCAATTGCATCAAAGCAACAAATACTTACACTCTGAACTACACTGACAAAACTTTTCACAAAAATTCTGTGCTATCACACAAGGGCACGAACTGTCACAAGGCTGCCGTGGATGGTCACAGGGTTGGTAGTTGTAAACGTGGTTAGAGGAGCCGTCTGCATCAAGACAACGGCATGTAAGTCAATCAGAGGTGGGAGATGATCATACACAAGGAACATGAACACATTCTTCCTGTTACCTTGGAGCTTAGCAGGTTTTCCCTACCTGATACATTTCCTGTCTACAAAACGGTAGCCGAAAGCACCCCCCGCCCCCAGCGGCAGGTCCCCAGGGCTCCTTTACCCACCTGTGACACGCCTTCACTGCACAAGACTGGCAGTATAATCAACAGACATCCTCCGTTTAATTTAGCTTAATGTACAGAAGTCAATTATATAAATTATAAGCTCTAGCCCAGTTACTATTCTGAAACATGATAAGCAGACATTTTCAAGTTGAATGAATAGATGCCTACCTTTTTTCAGCTGTATCTTTCTGCAGTGCGCAGCCCACAACCTGTAAAACACGAAGAAAACAATCTTCTCCAGGAAGCTAGGAAGAATGGTCAGCACAAATCCATAGAGCCTCCTTGAACAGGTCTATCTACCATGTACAGAGCAGTGCCTTAAATCCCAGTGACTGTGAGAGACGCAGCTTGCATTCATTTGTGGGGACAAGGGAATCTATGACCAAGAGCCCTGATATGTGCACTTTGCAAGGTCACCTAGTCAGAGCTGAGGGTGGCCACGCCTTCATGTGCAGGTTCCATTTCCCTACTGGTTCATTCTGATGTGGATAATATTGGTACGTCTCAAATTAGCTCCACAGTCAGAAATAATTCAACCAAAAATTCAGAATTATCTACTAAAGCCTAAATTAAAGAAAAGGAACAGCAGGTACACACGTTTCTAGATGCTTCCTTACCCAACACCCCCAACTGCAGAAAAACTGGGAGAAGAGATTAAAGCTGGCAGTCCAGCCACCATCTTCTGGCTCTGCATTTACAAAGCAAGTCACCCATCACTCACTGCCACAGGCCTTGGGGAAAGGTAATGTGGCTCCTCAAATACAAACCAGCGCAGAACTCATACATCACACTCGCACTCAGCGAAACACCTTAGAACAAATTAAAGTAAATGTTCGCTTAGCCTTTACTGTAGAAGTTACTAGGTTTGACTCAACCAAAAGTAACAGAGTAAGCATAATTTTCATGACTCTTAACACACCAAATCTAACACTGCTGTATTCTTACAGAAGAACATCAGCAACTGCTGGTGGAAACAAGACTCCACAAGTCTACTCCACAGCTTAAGTTCCTTTCTTAAGGGGCCAAGTAGAGGCTGGCCAACGCCCTTGGACACACCTGGCCTGCAGCATCCTGGTGACATATCAGAATGGCCACAAGTGGACTTACCGGTGTTTTCTCTTCTTCTTCCTTGGAGGAGTATCGACATCCTCAGCAGGAACGGGAGCTATGATGCTGGACTCTTTGACCCGAAACTCATACACCTGGACAAGAGGCACAGTCACAGCTGTGAGGATCGTAGTGGTAAGCAAACTTACACATTCTTTTACTAATTAATATCAGAAACATGTTTCTTCTGTAACACTGCTTAACTGCTAGGGACAACAGAGGGCAAATCAAGATGTTGTCTCAACTCTCATGTAAGGACAGCAACTGAGCTTACATTACGATCAATACTCACTGGCTTTTTAAATCCATTGTCACCTAACCTGAAATATCTAGTCAGAAGAATACTTTTCTCAGTTCCCTCAGTGGGAAAACAAAAACGAAAACATGCACTTTTCAGGAGATGCACATCAGGTTAAAAATTAAGACTATTCTTACATTTGAACAAGGATTACATATCCCTCCTCTCTGAAAATATTTATTAATCAGCGTACTTACCTGTCTACATGTTTTGGTCCCAATTAACCTGGCAATGGCGCAGAAGTTGTCGTAGTAGGTACCGATGAGGACCCGGAACATGGAGGCCTCGGCCCCGCTCCACTCCACATTCTCAGGGGGCTCACTGTTTGGCTTCATCTTTATTGGCGTTTGACATCGAGAATTTGCTTCTACAAACCAAAGTTAAGCATTGGTCAGGAAATGACAACTGCAGAACACAGTATCAAGAAGTAAAACTCGGCCCTAACCGGTTTGGCTCAGTGGATAAGAGTGTTGGCCTGCGGACTCAGGGGTCCCAGGTTGATTCTGGTCAAGGGTATATATCCTGGTTGTGGGCATATTCCCAGTAGGGGGTGTGCAAGAGGCGGCTGATCAATGTTTCTCTCTCATCGATGTTTCTGACTCTCTATCCCTCCCCCTTCCTCTCTGTAAAAAAACAATAAAATTTAAAAATTAAAAATAAAAAAAAGAAGTAAAACTCGGGCTGTGCTTAAGAAAAAAGCAGAAAGTGAATCATGTTTTAGGACAAACTGAGGTAGAAAGTGTCACTAAACCTTTTCCCACAGAACAAGGAGCCTAGGCTCCTTTCAGAACAAAGGCAGATGGGCTGTTCTGTTATTTGTGGTTAAGTCACAGGGTAGGACACCTAAAGCCCAGTCAGGAAAATAACCAAAACGACCCACAGAACATGAAGGACATTAAGCCGAGTGGCATGAGCCCCACCCTGGAGGAAATGGCACACTGGAAACAGATGAACCTCGAAACCTCAGTGACCAGACAGCAAACAACGTAGGTGGGCCAGGGGCAGAGGACAGAAACAAGAACACACTGTTCATCCTTCCTTAAGAGTGTCCTAGCCCCCGAAGCCGGTTTGGCTCAGTGGTAGAGCATCGGTCTGTGGACTGAAAGGTCCCGGGTTCGATTCCGGCCAGGGGCATGTACATTGGTTGCAGGCATATCCCCGGTAGGGGTTGTGCAAGAGGCAGCTGGTCGATGTTTCTCTCTCATCGACGTTTCTAGCTCTCTATTTCTCTCCCTTCCTCTCTGTAAAAAATAAAATCTATTTTAAGAATAAGAGTGCCCTGGCCTTAGATTTCTCATTTTATTGAAAACCAACCAACTAGGTAAATTATTCACTCTAGCACATGCCCTTACTCTCCACAATGTGGACCTTTCCAAGCAGCAGTAAAGTCAGTTGTCAGGTCCCTACCGGAGGAACTCGAAGTTTCGTCTTTTTTCTCCTCCTCCTCTTTATCATTGTTCTCTCCACCTGTTTCGGTCCCAGCTTCCCTGTCACTGTCCGTGTCCTTTGACTCCAGCACATTAATGGTGGGGGTGCTGGGCCTGCTGCTGTTGTTGGGAAGCCTCCCTCGTCTGCGACCTCCTGGGCGTTTGGGGGGCGTCTTGATCCGCTCGGCAGTGAGGGCGGCAGCGAACTCCTTTGCTCCCTCCTATGAAGTGAAACATGGAGGAGATATATCAAGGTCAAGTTCCATGACTCATTTTGTTGAAGGAGAAAACAAAAGATTGGATAAGCAAGGAGTCAAGAAATTTAACACAGTATCCATTTTGCACAAATAGTTGCATCTCTAAATATGCTTGTTTCCTACTTCTAATAGTGTGGAAATTTCAGAAAAACAGAAATGGGTTCTATATATTGCTGGAGTGTTGTGAAATCAGGCAAGACAGTTCTATATTTGTGAAATGCATTAACTGGTTAGTAAATTAAAATGTAAAATATATTTTACATATATAATTTCTTTACAAGTGAAATTTTATGAGGAAAATCATATACTTCCTGTGCATCTGGAGTCAAACTTTCCTAATCTGGCTGGGGTTTCTAAGATAGCACATGCTTCTATGGTCATGGTTAAAATACACAAGAATACAAAACAAACATGCTGGACTTTGTCATTTCCTGCCTTACTATTAAAATATCCCATTTTTTCCTGTAAGGGATACAAACCCCCAGGAAGACACTTGAGGATCAAGGCTGCGAGGATTACATCTGTATTACGAAGTGCAATATCCAGTCTCAGAAAGTATAAAACAATGGGGAGAGCATTGACTACAGAGAGACCAGAGAAACATTTCAGATGAGCCAAATAAATTCTACCTTGTAAAGAATATATAAAATAAGTGCTTAAGAATCCCATTTTTAGTGGCAATAGAAGGGAGAAGTTTGAGAGCAGCCAACAGTTTTATACTTCATTCTACAAAAACCAAATTGCTTAAAAATAGGATACCTTCTGCAGGTGCCATTCAATGAATCTTCTGTCCAAAATCCAACAGGCAATATATACCCACTTAGTTCCTAGGTAGGAGTGGCTTGGTTCAAAGAGGGGAAATGGTAAAAATAAGATAGTACCCATAAAAAAAACAACTTTTCTACCTCATTATTTCCCTAAACCTTTACCTTTTCTCCATTTTTATTTTTTATTTTTTAATTCTGTAGGCCCTATAATACAGCTTAAACAACGGGTCTAAAACTCAAAGAAAGGCTATGGCTCTGAGAAAGGCTTAGGACCATTATGTGTGACTATCCAGTTTCTGGGGTTAGGTTGGCTATCTGGGTTGCATACCCTCATAAACTCTGGAAAGTGTAACTCTAGTGTCCTCGATCCTAAAGACCTTGAATTGCAGCTGAAGGGATTAACACATACACAAAGACTAATACAAGATCAATGAAGGACTAGTGTGTGCAGTACATAAGAGCTACGAGAGACACATGGGTGAAACCTCTGCCTACCGTGTGGCCAGGAGAAGCACAGGGGAGCCACAGTGTTAATGCTGACTGCACACACCTCACCCAGTTCAGAATCAGCACTTCTCAATGCCCTTGAGGAACAAGTGGCACTCAAGCTTACCAAATGCTGGTAACACTGTGGTCCACAAGGCTTGTTGTCCAGAGCTGTTTCCGTGTTCTTCCGCTTGTAAGTGTTAGGTGTTGCATGAAAAGCTGAAAAATAAAGATAAAATATCCAAATATAAACTATTTACTTCTTCATTTCCCCCGTTTCAATGGGAAAAGTCAATGAATACATTCCAGTCTTGCTAATACTTGATTCACATCCCAGAACCTTCCTTCCAGCTCTTACTGAATTCTCACCAAGTGTTTCCTTCGACTCCTGCAGGGCGCGAACACTGCATTCTGGAATGATTAGTGGTTTGTTATATTTCTCTTCACAAGTATAACTGATGCATGTAAACTCTGAACTCTGGTCATAAACATTTGATATCTCCATAGAAACAACTAATTTTTACCAAAAGTACTGACATCTACAATTATTTTTTTATTATTATTTATAAAGAAAAGTCAGCAGTCTGTCAAATGGGAGAGGAAAATGGATACAACTTGTTAAAAAGCTAATTTTTAAGCCCTAGCCAGTTTGGCTCAGTGGATAGAGCATTGGCCGGTGGACTGAAGGTCCCAGGTTTGATTTCAGTCAAAGGGCATATGCACACGTTGGGGGCTCAATCTCCAATAAGGGGCATGCAAGAGGAGGCAGCATCAATGATTCTCTCTCATCATTGGTGTTTCTATCACTCCCTCTCCTTTCCTCTCTGAAATCAATAAATATATAGATAGATATAGATATATATATTAAATATATTTTATTGATTTTTTACAGAGAGGAAGGGAGAGAGATAGGACTGCGGAAGCTGGTTTGGCTCAGCGGTAGAGCGTCCGTCTGCGGACAGAAAGGTCCCAGGTTCGATTCCGGTCAGGGGCATGTACGTTGGTTGAGGGCACATCCCCGGTAGGGGGTGTGCAAGAGGCAGCTAGTTGATGTTTCTCTCTCATCGACGTTTCTAGCTCTCTATCTCTCTCCCTCTCTGTAAAAAAGCAATAAAATATTAAAAAGATAAAATAAAAAATTCATTCTATTAAAAAATTAAAAAAAGACAGACTGATAAGAGAAGGAAAGACAATGTTTTTAAAAGTAGAAATTCGAGGCTCAAATTCTTAAGTGCATAATTTCCCCCCTCCTCCCCCTCCCCCGAGAACAAGAGCCTAAACCTGTGGTCGGCAAACTGCGGCTGGCAAGCCACATGTGGCTCTTTGGCCCCTTGAGTGTGGCTCTTCCACAAAATACCACAGCCTGGGCCAAGTCTATTTTGAAGTGGCGTTAGAAGAAGTTTAAAGATTTTGGCTCTCAAAAGAAATTTCAATCGTATTGTTGACCCTTTGCACTCCGCTGTCCCCTCTCAGGGGGGACATTGCAGTTTATTAGTGATTACGGGGAATTGAGTTAATACAGCGCAGGTGTCCGCCGCAAAGTAGCGTCAAGTAGCTGGTAGCCAATGTCCAGAATGGTTCGGAGTGCAAAGGGTTGATATTTGGCTCTGTAGACTAATGAGTTTGCTGACCTCTGGCCTAAACCATACAACTAACATTGCAGTGGATTAGATTTTGTACATGCAAGGGCCCCTAACACACAGACTGTGCACATAAAAGGCTACAGTCACATCAGCAGCCCAGAATTACATCAATCCAAAAACAAAGCAGTTATTAGAGTTAGTGCACACAATAAGTAACACATTTTTGGTAAAATATGTTTTTAGTTGGGATGCCTCCTCTAACACCGGATACATTTGTAGACTGATATTCTCACACTAATTCAGTGAAAATAAAAGGCACTCGTGTATCTGTAGACAGAGAAAAAACACACACACACACACACACATACACACACACACACACACACACACACACACACCTCAAGAGGACAGTAGCCTCTGGTGGTCCTTAGCTAGTACTAGGTAACAGTACTTATTAACCATAATCATAGTCTCAAAGACAGGAACAACTTTAGACTATAACAACAAAATCAACATATTTATAATCAAAAGTACTTTAATAAATTTTAAAGTACCATTATCATGACTAGATTCCCTCAGCAGAATTTCAAACAAGACCATATAAAGAATTCCCTCTTCCAGAAATGTCCAGAATATTTTCAAACAGACATTTTCAAATACTAATATTTGAAGTAAGCTACTAAAAAATATTTCCAACTAGCCCAACATGGCTCAGTGAATGAGCATCAACCTATGAACCAGGTCGTGGTTTCATTCCTGGTCGGGCACGTGCCTGGGTTGCAGGCTCGATCCCCAGTGTGGAGTGTGAAGGAGGCAGCCAGTCAATGATTCTTTCTCATCACTGATGTTTCTATGTCTCCCCATCCCTTCCTCTCTGAAATAAATAAAAATATATTTTTTAAAGTATATATTTCAAAGCTGAGTACCGGTATATAGAAAAATGGTTATATAAAAGCCCATTATCAGAAAAAATGAAGGCACGATACTTTTAAATTTTACAAGGAGCAAACATGGATATTTCAAGGCTTTTTGTTTGTTTTAATGTTGAAAGCAATCTATAAAAACTTGATGAAAAGTAATCTAAAGCCCAGCTATTATATAATCAGTAGTTGAGAGTCAACCTGTGAATCAGGAGGTTTCAATTCCAATCCAGTCAGGGCAACATGCCTGGTTTGAGGGCTTGATTCCAGTAAGGGAAGTGCAGGAGGCAGCTGGTCAATGTTTCTCTCTCATCGATGTTTCTAACTCTCTCTCTCTCTTCCTCTCTGTAAAAAAAAAATTAAAATTAAAAAAAGAAAAAAAGGATTAGACATATTTTTACATAATGACCGTGTGTAAAGGGGAATGCTTTTCAAGGGCTATGTGAAACCCAAATAAGATATGTAATTGATAACTGTCCAACAACTATGGATTATTAAAACTAACAAATCAATTTAAATTAGATAGGAGTATGGATAACAGCAAGGATATGGGAGACATAATAACTCTAAAAACCACCATTAAGTTTTTCTAACTGATAACTAAACCACTTCACACACAAAAATTACTGTTTCCAAGACTAAGACGCACATCACACCACAAATCACGAGCTATGCAAATAGACGTGCACAGACAGAGCAAAACTCAATAGGAGGCAAGAAATAGTGGCTTGGGCAGACTAACTCATATTGAAACGTGTGACTGGAAAATGAGGGAAAATTCTGTGAAAAGCAGGTTCGAACTGAAAAAGACGAAGCACCTTGGGGCCAGTTAGTGCAGAGGAGACTGGTGCAGAGCCCCTACCGTGTTACCATGTCACCAACATCACACTAAAATGTGATATGGGAAAAACCTCTATATCAAGTAAACTCTGCATAGGAAACTGGGAGTTATGAAATATATTTTTAAATATGTTCCTCAAAAGCAGTTGGTAGTTTTTAAACTGTGCTTAAAGAAATAAGTTCCAGTTACCTGGACAATTTGCCAAGAAACCTCATTCCCCAGCAACATAAGGAAATATTGTGTGTGCCATACTTAAATTTCATTAAGACTATTTTATGTTTTACCTATATTCAAATGCGGGTATATTTGTAAAAGGACCAAAAAAATAAAAAGATTTAACACTAGATAGCTAGATAGATAACATCTACAAGCATCTTGAACAAATCTTGAGGAAATTGGCTAATATCAATAACACAGTGTTGCCCTGGGCTATCAGCTAGTTCAAAGTAATAGTTTATTATGAAACAACTCCTCCATTAGAATTTATGGAAAAATTACTGATCTATATTCCAGTTTAGTGGAAGATAGCAATACAAATCAAATTAGTGAAAAGACTTTGGAGCAACCCACAAGCAACAAATTAAAAATAGTAATATACTGCCAAAACAGATTTGGCTCAGTGGATAGAGCGTCAGTCTGCGAACTGAAAGATCCCAGGTTCGATTCTGGTCAAGGGCATGTATTTTGGTTGGGGGCACATCCCCAGTAGGGGGTGTGCAGGAGGCAGCTAATCAATGTTTCTCTCAGCAATGTTTCTAACTCTCTATCCCTCTCCCTTCCTCTCTGTAAAAAAATCAATAAAATATTTTTTTTAAATAGTAAGATACTGTTCCTAGCACTTTTCAATCTTAACTACAAGATTAAATGATAAACTCTAGTTGTAATCAATGAAAACCATTTCCGAGTTGCTCTAAAATATAATCCCACAGCAAAGACCGAAAATGAAAACAAACAATAACTGCACTTACGGTGTAGGAAGCAGTCGTACTTGAAACATCGCCTACAGAAGAGTGTGTGAAATGAATGCAGGCTCTGCTCCCTCTGAACAGATTTAGCATTTGGTCCATCTATGTTCGGGGTACATTCTGGAGGCAGTGCCCCTGGGAGCTGCTGCTCAGTGAGTTCTTTATACCTAAAATGAACCAAGAGAAATGTAAGTTAATGGAAAACAAAAGTTACAAGTTTCTTTTTTGTGTGGTTTTATTCTTCTAAAAGTAAAGTTTCTAAGCAGATTCCATATATTATTTTTGTTTATCTTGCCTAAAGCACAAAAGACCCATCAATAACCATCTGTGATGAACCAATTACACATTATGCAAGATTATCAAAAATCAAATTCATGAAAAATGTAC